GGTATTGCATTTGCAGAAGAGAAAAGGCAGTGTACTTGCAGATGGGTTATTTTAAGCAATGATGACACAAATTGAAATAGCACATTTGTTCAGTGGGAGGGGGAACACTTCTTTTTTAATCCAAATGTCAACGCCTTCTAATATTCACTTTCTCCCTGCTGCACTAACTTCTCACAGAAGAAACAATGAACTGTATGATCCCTACTAGCATTTGCGTTTCAAAGGAAACTTGGGAGAGCCCAACCTCTTCTCCCTCCACACATAAATTGCCTGAAACACTCTCTATGACAGCATTTCTCAACCTGGGGGTCAGGACCTCTGGAGGGGTCACGAAGGGGTGTCAAAGGGGTCACCAAAGCCCATCAGAAAACACAGTATTTTCTGTTGATCATTGGGGTTCCATGTAGGATGTCTGACCCAATTCTATCATTAGTGGGGTTCAGAATGCTCTTTGACTGTAGGTGAACTATAAATCCCAGCAACTACAACTCCCAAATGTCAAGGTATATTTTCCCCAAACTCCACTAGTGTTCACATTTGGGCATAAACAAACAAGAAGACCTGTTTCTTTTCTCCTCGAAGGACGACATATTCCAAACCCTTCCAGAATACATGCAAACTATTAGCAGTAGTTTTGTGTTCAAAAATATGTGAACAAATGGGATACTGTGCTTTGAAACATTTATATAGGATACTGTTTGGATTTTAAAATACATACCAACACTTCTTTTGCTGGGGTCAAGGAATTCCAAGGGGAAAGTGTGTCCAAATCCAGGGACTTTGATGTCAACCCCATCTGGTGGTCCAGTGGCACCACTAGTCTGATTGTATACAAGCCTGAAAAGAAAGAACAACAAGAAGACAAGGACGTGTTTAAGTAGTATCACTTTAAAAAAACATACCTATCTATTTAAACTGTACTTAAATATATTTAAATCAGGCTTGGAAAACCTACTTTTAGGCCTCTCCCAGGTGAAATCAAGCTTCAGTCTCTAGTCCTGGCACTAAGTCTAAAGCAATCAACACTCTTTAGTGGTTTATCATAAAGTTACCAAAAAAAAAAATGGTAGACAACATTAGGCTATTCCAGAGCTCCCCCAGTCTACTTGTGGCCAACTCTGGAGGATGGTGCTCATCTCCATTTCTAAGCCAAAGACCCAGCGTTGTCCGTAGACACTTCCAAGGTCATGTTTCTTCCCGCAGAGGTGGTACCTATTGATCTACCCACATTTGCATGTTTTCGAACTGCTAGGTTGGCAGAAGGTAGACCTAACAGTAGATTGGAACCACCAACCTTTCGATCAGCAAGTTCAGCAGTTCAGCTATAAGACTCCCTAAATATAAGGCTGTAAGGCTCAGCTATAAACTCACCGTAAGAATAGCGTAGTTTAAGATAATCATCTACTTAACTGTAAAGTACAGTTGGAAAAAGCCAACTCTAATCATTGAAAGGGCTTCTGGAAAAACAATGGGTGAGTTTTCATCTCCAATGCCAAATAGTTTTTTTTTTTTTTTTTGGTCACCAGTGTTCTGCCTCAATTTATTTTATGGAATATAAATACATTTTATTTATTTATTTATTTATTTATTTATTTATTTATTTATTTATATATATAATTCTTGTTTATTTATTTTTATTTATTTATTTTTAGTTTTTTTTTCTGGTCACCAGAGTTCTGCCTTATTTTATGGAATATAAATAAAAAATATTTATTTATTTATTTATTTATTTATTTATTTATTTATTATTTTTTAGTTTTTTTCTGGTCACCAGAATTCTGCCTCAGTTTATTTTATGGAATATAAATACATGGACTGCGAGAAGATCCAACCAGTCCATACTTCAGGAAATAAAGCCCGACTGCTCATTGGAGGGAAGGATATAGAGGCAAAGATGAAGTACTTTGGCCACATCATGAGAAGAAAGGAAAGCTTAGAGAAGACAATGATGCTGGGGGAAATGGAAGGAAAAAGGAAGAGGGGCTGACCAAGGGCAAGATGGATGGATGGCATCCTTGAAGTGACTGGATTGACCTTGAAGGAGCTGGGGGAGGTGACGGCTGACTGGGAGCTCTGGCGTGGACTGGTCCATGTGGCCACGAAGAGTCGGAAACGACTGAACGAATGAACAACAACAACAAATACATGCAAGCAGTGGGGATGCTGGCTTCAAACTGCTAGTAATCAACTTTGATTTTCAGATTCAGAAATCATCGGCAAACGTAGTTACTAGGGCTGGGCAACCACGGAAAAATTTGTTTCTAAACTCGATTAGTTTTTTGGGGGTTTTTTGCGTTTCGATATTTAAAAGAATTCCGAAATTTTTCTTTAAAAAAGTTCGATATTTACGAAATTTCATAAAATTACGAAACAATACGAAACGAATACGAAACGAATACGAATCGATTCGTTAATGGCGGGCGCGACCGCGCAATACGCTAAAAAACCTCCATATGGGACAGGGGGAACTTCTGAAGCTTCCCTCTCCCTCTGTTGTTGACTGTTGGTGTGATATTTATAATTTTTTTTCACTGATTAAACAAACAACAGCTATAAAACTTGCCCCAGACATGCGGAAATAATAACGAAACGATTTCGAAATGATTTCGAAACGAATACGAAACGAATACAAAGCAATTACGAAACGAATTGAAAAATTCGTTTCGTTTTTTAGATGCCCTTGAATGGTTCAATATCGCTTCGTTATCAAAAAAATAACGAATTTTTAACGAATTACGAAATTGCGAAACGAAACCGCCCAGCTCTAGTAGTTACTAATGGTTCAGTTTTAACTGTTCTAGAATTTAAATGGAAGTGTTAACCGATGCATTCTCAAAATGAGTTCTACGGACATATATTTACTTTTCAAATAGGACAGATTACATTTTCATCTCCAATACCTTGTTTGCAATGTTTGCTCTTTTGAAGACTTCCATGTACAAATGACAGATTGATGTATCATTTCATTCATAGCTAGCAGTCTGACAAGCAAGAGGAAAAGCATTTAAGTGCTATCGACACTTCACTCAAAAGCGCAAAAGCTACTAAACCACAGTCTAAGTAAACAGTGCGTACTCATTCTTCATAGCAATTTAAATGCGAAGTTTCTTCCTTAATCGGGCGAAATGTAATGGCAATTAATAGGAATCCTACAAATTTTCTTATGCTGGCTTATTTCAGGAGTAATGCATGCTGGGTGTGCCATCGCTCCTGGGGCTATTATTCTCAACAAAGGAGGGATGGACGTGACATCTTTCCCCCAGGGGATTGCTTCTTGCCCTCCTTTAGGAAACTGGAACTCCCAAAAACCCAAAACGCTGTAAATAGCTCAAAATAAGTTTTATTGATAACAAAGTCATTTCTTTAAAGCAATGAGCTGGAAAACTTCAGAGGGGTGAAGGAAAACATACTTTACAGTCTCAATAAGTTCTGGGTCCAAGAGGTTTGAAGCTGAGAAGCCTCACCAGGTTTCCTCTTTCCTCAATGGCTGTGAATGCCGGAGCAAAACACAACCCCAGTTCAGATGGCCTATGTTTGAAGATTCAGGATCTTCCTCTGTTGTCAAAAGAACTGGTATGAAGGCGCTGGGGTCTCCTCAATGTTATCCAGGATGATCTGGACATAAAGCATGAGTCCCCAGGGTAAAAAACCTCAGAACTGATGCTAAGAGGTAACTTAAATCAGGGTCTTTAAGAATGAAGTCTTTTACTCACGTCCATGTGGTATGAACTCTGATAGCAGAATGAAAAGAAAAAAGGAAGCTCTCCCCTCCTGCAGGAAGAGGTGGAGCCAAACAGTACTGATTGACAGCTACAAGCAACCAATCCATACAACTGTACATAAACATGGTAAAGGGGCAGGATTAAACATGATACAACAGTTTAAGTCTAACAACTAACAGTTCTAGACATAGGTGGCGCCACTCGCGCCGTCACATTGGGTGAGTGGGCTTATTAACAAAAGACCCTCCTCATAAATGCCCAGCAGAGTAACTTCTCAGCAGCAGCGTGACCTAGCAACAGTAGCCCAAAGAGATAAAAAGAACAAAAACACACAGACCAATGTTATCTCTTCCATAGGAGGCTTTTCCTTATAGCAAAATAATATGGTTGCACTATTTACAAGAACAAGGTTTCTGTAACACAAATAAAGTCCTTTATACTTCCTTCTTTGCTTTCAGGTTGGGCTTCTTCCTCATGCAGCTACACTCTCACAGAGACTTCTCTCGCAACGAACTTGCACTGGAACTACACACAGTAGCCCAGGGGTCCTCAAACTAAGGACCGAGGGCCAGATACGGCCCTCCAAGGTCATTTACTCGGCCCTCGCTCAGGGTCAACCTAAGTCTGAAACAACCTGAAAGCACAGAACAACAACAACAACAATCCTATCTCATCAGCCAAAAGGCAGCAGATCACAGCTGTTTTCATAGACCTGTCAGCGACTTATGATACTGTAAACCACCTCCTCCCCCTGAGAAAAATGTATAATATCACAAAGGATTATCATCTCACCCGCCTCATAGGAAACCTGCTACAAAATAGCTTTTTTGTTGAGTTCCAGGGCCAGAGAAGCAGATGGCGGAAACAGAAGAACGGCCTGCCTCAGGGGAGTGTGCTTGCTCCATCCATGTTCAACATCTACACAAATGACCAGCCACTGCCAGAAGGGACAGAGAGTTTCATCTATGCTGATGATCGTGCTATCACTGCTCAAACAGGGAGCTTTGAGATGGTTGAACAGAAGCTCTCCGAAGCTCTACGTGCTCTTACTGCCTATAACAGGGAAAACCAGCTGATCCCTAACCCATCTAAAACACAGACATGTGCTTTTCACCTTAAGAACAAACAAGCATCCCGAGCTCTGAGGATGACATGGGAAGGAATCCCACCGGAGCATTGCAGCACACCCAAATACCTGGGAGTCACCCTGGACCTCTGACCTACAAGAAGCACTGCCTGAATATCAAGAAAAAAGTGGGTGCTAGACACAATATCATACGAAAGCTGACTGGCACAACCTGGGGATCACAACCAGACATAGTGAAGACATCTGCCCTTGCACTATGCTACTCTGCTGCTGAGTATGCATGCCCAGTGTGGAACACATCTCACCACGCTAAAACAGTAGATGTGGCTCTTAATGAGACATGCCGCATTATCACGGGGTGTCTGCGCCCTACACCACTGGAGAAATTACACTGCTTAGCCGGTATTGCCCCACCTGACATCCGCTAGGAAGTAGCAGCCAATAGTGAAAGGGCCAAGACAGTGACATCTCCAGCTCATCCCTTGTTTGGGTATCAGCCAGCACGTCAACGACTTAAATCAAGAAATAGTTTTCTAAGATCTACAGAGGCACTCGCTGGAACACCCTGGCAAGCGAGAGTCCAAAAGTGGCAGGCTCAAACCCAGAACCTCAATCAATGGCTGATACCAAATGAGAGACTCCCCCCTGGGCACACACAAAACTAGGCGACTTGGAAGGCACTGAACAGACTGCGCTCTGGCACCACAAGATGAAGAGCCAACTTTAAGAAATGGGGCCACAAAATGGAGTCCACGACATGCAAGCGTGGAGAAGAGCAAACCACTGACCACCTGCTGCAATGCAACCTGAGCCCTGCCACATACACAATGGAGGACCTTCTTGCGGCAACACCAGAGGCACTCCAAGTGGCCAGATACTGGTCAACTACCAAGCTTGCAAACTTTGTGTTTTGTCTGTTTTTTTGTTTTGTAAAAAATGTAATACAAATGTCTGGTTCCTCCTGACACGATAAATAACTAGTATACTGGCTTTTTAAAATTATAGTAGTAGTGATTTGTATCATCCCCAAAATACCTTAATTTCCATTTCTAGCTTCTGCTGTAGACTTTAGTAGTTTGGCTCGGATTTTTTGGGCTGCAACTGCAAATGTGGCAACCTTTAATGTGATATTTTTGGAATAATCTACTAACAAGTCACAGATAACTGCTGACTGTTGCCATGCTGCCTTTTCTTCCAAAAGGGCTCCCTGAAGATTGTTTCGAGGGTCATTATACAGTGGGCAATGTAACAGATAGTGTGTTAAATCCTGTCTTTCCCCGGACCCACAAATACAACGACGTTGGACATGAGGGATCCCTCTATATTTTCTCTCTAACCAGCCTGATGGCATTGTTTGAAAGAGCAGGGCTGTAAATGCTTTTCTAAGGGCTTGATCTTGAAGATATTGTTGGCAATATTGGTCACTCTTTAGTAGAGGATACCAAGTGGAGAAACCCTGTTGTTTACTAGTCCGCAAGTTGTCAATTACATCCATCCCATCTCAAAAATTTTGTCTCTAATTGCCTTCCTGTTCAACTGCATTAGGGTTGCTGTTGACCCATCAAAATACCGGTGGAGCAGAGCTGACCAGTGTTGAGCCCAACCTCCTCGCTTATATTGCTCTAAAAAGCATTGTTTTGTTATACTCTCATCTCCATTTCCAGAAGTCTCTTTCCATATAAAATGTTAAGCTTATGCATTCTGGCCTTAAGTGAGGGAAGATCCAATTCAAGCCTTAACAAGGCAGGTGGTGAAAAAAAAAGAAATGTTAGAATCATTTTTTTCCAATTTCAGACTGAGTTGTTATAACAATGCTACAGCCCTACCTGATATTATCGATCCAGCAGTCAATGATGACCGGAAGCAGCAGTTCCAAGTTCAGCCATATGGTGAAGTAGCTCTCCGTCTTCTTGGAGCAAAGGTAGTGCACAACCGATGGCTTGTTCAACTTCGCTTCTAGCTGATTACCCAAATCTCCTGGCACTGTAAAGATGCCAAAGGGGGTAAAGATTACAGCAAATCCACTCTTTTTTGCTTTTTTACTAAAGCATTCTCCTTCTTCCTCACCAGGTTATCTGCGGTATCAATGGGAGTGAAATGTGCGGTCCATCAAACCCAGCAAGCGGAACAAAACAATGGGAGTTGCAATCTGACAATATCTGGAGGGTGTTTCCCCATTTCATGCTCCAAGTTATCTGCGCTCACAGAGAAAAGGACTGAACATTACTCTCAAGTGACCTGGCCAATGATCCGGTATTTAGCCAGAAATACCTGCATAGAGATGTAAGAGGAGGGACACATGACGTGATCCTAGATACAAACCCCAAAGGAGACCAAAAGCCCATCATTCCCACATGGCTAGTAAAGGATTCTGGATGCAATCCCTATTCACCTTGCCTATTATAGTGTGCAACACAATCTTTGTTCCTGGGTTATAAATGTCATTTCCTGATTGGTTCTATCATAAAAACATTGAAAAGGTATATTAAACTGCCCAAACTTTTTTTAGTGTGAGTATAAATATTAATGGAAATAAGTGGCATCCCTGTCTTGTTCCTTTTTTATTTCTATAGTTTCTGTTTCTTGTCCGTTTACTATAATTTTTGCCTCCTAATTTTCATAAATTGCCTCTATTGCATTTTGGAAGTAGAATCCTATATCAATTTATTTCATTAAAAATTTGAAGAAGTTCCAATTTACATTGTCAAATGCCTTCTCTGCGTCTAGGGTCAAAAACATTACTTTCTTTTTATAATTAATTTCATAGTATTCAATCAAATCTATAATTGTTCTTACATTATCTTTTTAGTGTCTATAGGGCAAGAAACCTGCCTGGTCTTCCTTTATATATTCCTTGAGTACTTTTTTAAATCTATCTGCCATTATGTTACTAAAGATTTTGTAGTCAACATTGAGTAGGGAGATTGGCCTGTAGCTCACATCTTGCTCTAGTTTTTCAATGAATCTCTCATTGAGTCAACCAATTCAACCTAGTTTGTGGCAGCCACAAAAACGAAGTTTCTGGACCAGAACAACTACTTTCAAAGTAAAGACCGCACAATTAAACAGGAAATAACACTTTCAAACCAGGAACAGAAAGTGTTAACGTATTGTTATAAGACACATACAGCAATAATGGAATTGCAGCAGAATCTCATCCTTCCCCAACTCATGTTTCATTGACTTGTTTAGTGCAAACTCTGCTGCAACCTGACATCATCCTTATTGGTCTCTCATTGCAGATAGGCTTTTAATATGGGTTTTTATTATATGATATTAAATTTTTTAATTGATATGTATGTATGCTGTGGCATCTAATTGTTGCCAATCTGTACGCCGCCCTGAGTCGCCTTTGGGCTGAAAAGAGCGGAATAAAAATGCTGTAAATAAATAAATAAGCAGATAATGTGGTATCAGATCCTGGCATATAGGGCAGTTTAGAAGGGGCCTTAGTGTATTTACTGTAGTTTAATTTTGCTTTTACCACCTTGTTACTATTTAATTGCTTCTTAACCTTTGTATTGCACCTTTTAAACTTGTCCAGTGTGGAGTGTTAGCCTCCTTGAGTTCCTATTTGGAGAAAGGCAGTGTATAGACTATTATTATTATTATTATTATTAGCCGTCCCCTGCCACACGTTGCTGTGGCCCACATGAGGGTTCTGTGTGGGAGGTTTGGCCCAATTCTATCGTTGGTGGAGTTCAGAATGCTCTTTGATTGTAGGTGAATTATAAATCCCAGCAACTACAACTCCCAAATGTCAAGTTCTATTTTCCCCAAACTCCACCAGTGTTCACATTTGGGCATATTGAGTATTCGTGTAGAGTTTGGTCCAGATCCATCGTTTGAATCCACAGTGATCTCTGGATGTAGGTGAACTACAACTCCAAAACCAAAGGACACTGCCCACCAAACCCTTCCAGTATTTTCTGTTGGTCATGGGAGAACTGTGTGCCAAGTTTGGTCCAATTCCATTGGTGGGGTTCAGAATGCTCTTTGATTGTAGGTGAACTATAAATCCCAGCAACTACAACTCCCAAATGACAAAATCATTTTTTTTGAGGGAAGGACATACATTGGGTTGTTAGGTGTCTTGTGTCCAAATTTGGTGTCAATTCATCCAGTGGTTTTTGAGTTCTGTTAAGCCCACAAACAAACATTACATTATATTTAGGGACTAGCTGTACCCGCCACGCGTTGCTGTGGCCAACCTTCCCTCCCTCTTTCTCTCCTTCTTTTCCTCCTTCTTTCACTCCCTCTTTCCTTCCTTCCTTCCCTTTTCTTCTTTCCTTCTCTCCTTCCTTCTTTCTCTACTGCTTTCATTCCCTTCCCTTTCTCTCCTTCCTTCCCTATCTCTTTCCTTCCTTCCTTCACTTTTTGCTTCCGTCCTACCACCCATTCTAATGGGGTGGTGGACCCATTAGAATGGTCCGCCCCAGGAGGCTTATGGAGCCAAAAGGCTTCCTGACGGCTCTTGGGGAATTCTCCACCTTCTTGGCTGGCGACTCTGTCGATGTCTTGGTCTCTCGCTCCTTCTCTTTTCTTCCTTTTCTATCTTCTCCCTTCCTTCGCTCCCTCTTTCCTTTTCTTTTCTTCCTTTCCTCCTTCTCTACCTTTCCTTCCTTCACCTTTTTCTTTCCCTCTTTTTTCTTCCTTCTTCTTCTCTTTCTCCTCCTTCCTTCTCCCTTCCTTCTTTCTTCCCTTCCTCTTTCTTCTTTCCTTTTTTTTCTCCCTTCCCCCTCCTTCCCTCCCTTTTTTCTGTATCGTTTAGCTTTTCATCATTTAGCTTTTGGGGCTTTTTAAGTCGTTCTAGTTTTTTTCAGTATTTTTTTTGAGTGAAAGACATACATTGGGTTGTTAGGGGTATTGTGTCAATTCCCCCAGTGGTTTTTGAGTTCTGTTAATCCCAGAAACGAACATTACATTTTTTATTTATATAGATTATTATTATTCCCTGTCCTTTATGCTGAGGTTTTGTCACATCTGCTTCAACGATGGGTAACAGTTCTCCAGATTTTTTCTTCCCACCTGTGTGAATTCATTGCTCAAAGCAGAAATGTAAAGAGAAGTAACAGGGGGGAAAAGAGGTAATTGATCTGCGTTGATTTCATTTTCTCACGAGTCACAGAAAGCTACTTACTACCATTAGTCAAAAACCATTCCTAGCACAGGCTGAGCACAATGTGGCCCTTTGGATTCCCCAAAATTACAACTCCTAGCATTCCTCATCCCTGCTTATGCTGACTAGGACTGATGAAGGTGCAGCTCAACAACATCTGGACGGGTGCACTTTGCCTACTCTGTCATAAATTGACTTAAAAGCTAAGTGAGGCTATCATTAGAAGCAGGAAGGCTATCATGTGATAGAAGGATATCTATCACATGATGTGCAGATTTCCCCGAAGATCACATGCCTAACATTGCTGCAGATGTCCCATTGCCAAACTCTACTTTTGCATATGAGAATTAAATCCTTGCGTAAAATGTTGAATAATAAGGAAATGGCCATGGTTCTTGGAAAAATGGAACCATTTATGTCATCTTCTTTTACTTCCTCTTTCACAAGTTTTGTTAGTTCACAGGGTTGAATAAGACACGACAGTATCAAAACTGAACCATGGATTTAATTATTTTAAAGATGTTGACCTCTCATGTTCCACCTTGTCTCCTGTGCTACTCTAATAATATAATTGTAATATAATATAATATATTGTATATACATATAATATTTATATTATAATGTAATACAATATAATGCTAATAATATGTTATTATAATTATATATTTATATTACATGTAATACTAATAATATTATAATATAATGGTATCATACAATATGATAATATTTAATACTAATATTGTACTATGCTAATATAATATAATATATTGTATATACAAATAATATTTATATTATAATGTAATACAATATAATGCTAATAATATATTATAATTATATATTTATATTACATGTAATACTACTAATAATATTATTATAATATAATGGTATCATACAATATGATAATATTTAATACTAATATTGTACTATGCTAATAATATAATACGGTATATTGTGTGTATGTATGTATGTGTGTGTGTGTATATATATATATATATATACACACACACACACACACCGTATATACTCGAGTATAAGCCGACCCAAATATACGCCGAGGCACCTAATTTTATCACAAAAAACTGGGAAAATGTATTGACTCGAGTATAAGCCGAGGGTGGGAAATGCATCCACTATGGGTCAATTACAAAATAAAAATAGATACCAATAAAATTACATTAATTGAAGCATCGATAGGCTAAATGTTTCTGAATATTTACATAAAACTGTAATTTAAGATAAGACTGTCCAACTCTTATTAAACCATTATTCTAACCTCCTTCAATGTAAATGTACATATTATTAAAATAATAAATATAATAAAAATAGAGTAAAATAATGAAAATGCAATAAAAACAGTAATAATGGAGTAAAATAATAAATGTAGTAATAATAGGGTAAATACTGTAAATGTAATAATAATAATAATAATAGATTAAAATAATAAATGCAATAATAATAGGGTGAAATACTGTAAATGTAATAATAATAATAATAATAATAATAGATTATAATAAATGTAGTAATAATAGGGTAAAATACTGTAAATGTAATAATAATAATAATAGAACAAAATAATAAATAGAATAATAATAGAGCAAAATAATGTAAATATAATAATAATAGAGTAAAATAATAAATGTAATAAAATTATACTAATAACAGAGTAAAAGAATAAATAATCTTGACCCGAGTATAAGCCGAGGGGAGCTTTTTCAGTCTAAAAAGGGGGCTGAAAAACTAGGCTTATACTCGAGTATATGCAGTATATCTTGTAAGTAGCTCTGAGTCTCCTTCGGGGAGAGAAGGGTGGCATAGAAATGTCGTTAAAAAATAAACAAAAATGTTCAAAGGCAACAAGAGCGAC